AAAATGAAGAAATAATTTCTAAATAGAATTAATCAGTTAAAATTAATAATCTCCCTAAACTATTGTTGATCACTTACTAGGTACAAGGCACTTTAAGAACAACTTAATATCCAGAATGATGCTAAGAGGTATTAAAAAAAATGACCCTACCATCAAGAAACTTACAATCTAATAGAAAACATAGGAAATATATAAACATAATAATATTAAGTAGAAAACCCTGTATAAAAATGCCATAGGTTAAAAGGAGTGATGGAACATTTTTAAATCAAAGAGTCTCAGACATTTTACAAGTATATTGTATTTGAGCTGACCACCAAAGCATGGGAAAGATTTAAACAGGGGATTTGCATGAGGCAATGTGGGAAGGGGTGGTATTAAGTGTTGAGAACTCTCTCATAGAGTCTATAGCATATCCAGAATGCTTGAAGGATTGTACAAACAGATGAAGCAAATGAGGTTGGGGCCAATTATTGAGTGGCCTGTATATGCACCAAATACTCTATAACAAAGATAGTATTATTCAGGGGATAATGGCAAAAGTTCAGGCATCATCCCCACCACTTTTGAATCCCACTTATTTACTACGTGACCCAGGTTAATTTACATAGGCTCTATAAACCACAGTTTCACCACTTAAAAAATCAAGATGAAAATACACCCTTTTATTATGAGGCTTGGGACCATATACTTAGTGTTATAACATAAATAAGATATATGGTTTAGCTTGCAGGAAAAAATTTATGTTTCAGTGGAAAATTTTCCATTTTCTAGACTCTGGAGGACACCCCTTCAGGCTATCTGATTCTGATTCTGTGGCAGATATTTTTAAACTTCTCAAATTATTTATAACTTATAGCAATGTAAAATAATTCTTCTCTATGACATGCAAATTTAGTCCTGTTAGGTAGAGATTGAACAAATGTCCCTCTCCCACAGTGAAAGAAGCAAGTTTTGCCTCCATTTGTTCATTCATTTCAACTTTCATGACTTTTTTTTGAACCAATTGTTATATCTGCCTAGTTCCCTCATTGATTGAATTGAATAAACTCTTTAACATATTTATTTTATAGCTATATGAGAGTTATTTCATCTTTCTGAGACCTAATTCTTTTTACTAAATTATTTTGCTAAGATTTATCCATATCATATGTAGCTATGGTTGAGACATACTGATTTTGTATACATTTCAGTGTATTTATCCATATTAAAAAAATTTAAGAACGTTTGCTATATTGGCTGGATTTATTATAAGCACAAAATAAATGTATTTGAAAAAAATTTGCCTAGGGCTTTGTTAATTAAAAAAAAATAATGAGAGCTTTGGAAAAAAGAGAGCTTTATTTCTCATGAAGGGTAGCAACTTGTTGGGTGGCTATTTCAGCAGGTTAGGAAGCTAAGCCCCAGTCAGAAGCCAGGCACACGTAATTCAAAGAAGAGACTAAAGAACAGGATTTTATACTTGGGGGTGGAGGGATGGGGGTTGTCAAATATCCATATTCAGGCTATAGGAGGAGTCATGAATATTTATGAAAGGAAACCATATGCATGTAATTGTGCTTTACCTCTCCATCCCTTTATGGCTGAGAATGCAGTTTTAAGGTGTTTCTGGGGTCCCCTTGGCTGAGGGGTCCATTCAGTTAGCAGAGGGCTTGGGATTTTGTTTGTAGTTCACAACTTTGTAACTTATCACATCTTTCCTATTCATTATTGCCTTCCAAAAACCTTCTTCAATGCCCCTTTCACCTTCTTATTCCTTAAAGTATAGATGAGCAGATTCAACATGGCAGTCACTAGGTTGTAGAAGAGAGTGAGAAACTTGCCTTTGTCTTGGGAAGAACTGTTTCCTGCCTGCATATACATATAGATGATGCTCCCATAAAACAGAGAGACCACTGTGAGGTGGGAGCTACAGGTATTAAAGGCCTTCCATCGCCCGGCAGCTGGCTTGATTCTCAGCACGGCTACAGCGATGTAGCCGTAGGAGACAAGAATAAGAGTGAGGGGCAGTAGGACAATGAGGATGGCAAAGGCAAAGGCCAGCATTTCCACTGCACGAGCATCCACACAAGCCATCTTGATCAATGTTGGCCTTTCGCAGAGGAAATGGTTAACTCTGCAGCGACCACATCTGGAGAGGGTCATTGTTAGTGGGGACATGACAATGGCATTGACCAGTCCACTCCCTCAGGCCACAGCCTGGGGATGCATAATGACCATACAGTGCGAAGGTTTACAGACTGCAGCATAACGGTCATATGCCATGACAACCGGAAGGATACACTTGTTTCCCCCAACAGAAAGGAAAGAGAAAAGTTGGACAACGCAGCCAGTATAGCTGATAGTCTTATCAGGGCCCCAGAGGTTTACCAGCATCTGTGGGATGCAACTAGTACTGAAGCAGAGATCAAGAAAGGAAAGATGTGCCAGAAAGAAGTACATTGGAGTATGAAGCCAAGGGTCTAATATACATAGAAGCATTATAGTTGAATTTCCCAGAACAGCCATTGAATACAGAGTAAAATTTACTATGAAGAACACCATCTCCAGCTTGGAACAATCAGAGAAACCCACCAAGGTAAAGCCATAGTCTAAGCTGTCATTGGATTTTTCCATTGCCTTCCTTTCACATCATCTGTATAGCTGGGCAAGGACAAAATGAAGAATATTTAATATATATTTTATGAATATCATTGAATATCAGGATTTGGGGGGAATACATAGCTATCAAGTCTAACAACCCATCCAATAATCGCATATCTTCTGCCCAGCTATATAAGCTGTTCATCATTTGTTCAAACACATAAGGCAAAGTATTTCATTATTGGAAAATTACCACTTACAATCATCATCTTTTTATTAAGTAAACATTTTTTCCATATAATTCATAAGAGAAAGTATTTTAACTTTACTGAATATGCATCACATCTAATACTTCTTTCTGTAACATCCATTAACATATTTAGAGGCAATTACCACATCTCAGCTATTAATAAATTTATTTCAGGCCAAGACTATTCATATTCCTTCAACTCTTCCTATATAAGAAGGTTATCAGGTGTATTATTACCCTAGTAGCTGTCTTCCACATGCCCTCAATGTTAACAATGACTTTCTGAAAATGTGACAACCAAGGTTGAGCTCATTACCTGAGTTTTTGAAAAATACAAGGTACAAAGAAACTACTGCTTACCGTGAGCTGGACTATTCTAATCTTATTAACGTGGCAGAAGTGTGTATTCACTTTACAGTGTCAATGTCACCTTTTTACTTAGATTATAATTGTATGTACTAAATATCCCAGTTCTTCATTTTCACAAAATACTATCAACTTGTATCTCTATCATTCATTTCATTGTAAGTAATGAAATTTTGCAACCTGGATTGCCAAGGTCAGAGAGGATATTCTGTCCACTAATAAAATGGCAACTTTAGATATATTTTATCTTGTTAGCCTTCTACAAACGTCAAAACAATGTGATTGGCTTGCAGAAGAGAGGCATATGGCAATAAGGACGAATGGAGTCAAAGGGAAAGAGAATGTGGTAAATAAAGAGTAATTTAAGAAAGAGTAATTTTAAAAAGTAAATAAAAAAAGATTGACCCTAATATGGCTAAGAAGAAGAAAGAGAGAGAGATTCATAAAAGATACACTCATAATTGGATTAAAGGATGCTTGGATAATAAAGAAATAACAGATAAAGGGAGACAAGTGTAAAAGTAGCAGAACAGCTGGTACAGAAGGAAATATATTTTACACCCTTAGTCATGTTGATTCTTTGATAACTTAAGCATAAATAAGAAGACTAACATTATCAAATGATATTACAAAATACCTAGATTGCTGTGTGAATTCAGGGTTGTTTCTAATAATAATATATTCAATTAGTTATCTGAGAAAAAAAGACAGAGTAGGACTTAAATTTTTATCACAGATATTTTGATTTTCAAATGAAAAACTTGTCTTTGGTGAAACTTTCTTGACATTGAAATTCTTATAGTAAATTTATTTTCCATAGCCAAATATAGTACACCAAAGCAAAAGAAAATTTTTGCCATTTTCTCTAGTCTTTTGGGCTTACCTGGGTTTAACTTTTCCAAAGGATATAGGAAGAAAATATATTGATGTTTTTCCTCTGGTTTTGTTTGTTATCTGGCATTTTGTGGAGGATTGAGAAGTTAATAGAAATAGAAAGTAACAGTAAGGCTATGAGACTAATGCACCAGAAATTATATAGAAGTAGTTACACCCGAAGGATGGACATATTTGAAACTCGGAATTGGGGGGGGACCAAGGGCAACATACGTAACCTAAACATCTGTACCCCCATAATATGCTGAAATAAAAGAAAAAAAAAAGAAGTAGTTACAAAGATCTCAACTTGTCAAGAAGTAGATTGTCAATCAAGCCCCGAACTCTCTTCTATGTATTAAATTCCAGTTTCCAGTTTCCTTTTGAAGATAAAAGAGAAAGAACTGATTCCTTTTCTTTATAATTTGATTAAAATTATAGAGTAATAGTATGGCACGACTTCAGAGAAAAGGTAAAATGTAGTAATTGCCACAGTGTAATTAAATTATATGGAAAAAAGGCAATTGTATCAGAAAATAACATTAGCATCCTTCGTCTGTCTACCTGCCATTTGGGCCAACTACTTAGCCTTCTGGAGGCTTTCTGGAGCTGTCAACCAAAGCTCCAAGGCAAGGACTTCCTGCTCATCCCAGAAAATAACCAATGCAGATTTGGAAGCTCTTATAGACCCTGATAGAAAAAACAGAGGACTGGAGGGGGGGAAGATGGCCGATTAGGGGTGACCTCCGGGCTCTCTGCTCCCAGAGTGTGAGGTGAAAAACGTGGACACCCACAAGCGTGTGAGGCGCTCCCCTGCAGGATTGGCTTCGTGAATCTACAGAGAGGCAGCGAGGGACAAGCAGCCCCGTGGATAAAAGCAGGTGAACTCAAAAAACACTCGCAAATTACCGGAGAGTTGGGACAAAGGGGAAAGGCAGCGCGGGACAGCCGCGCCCCGCGGCGGGCTCGCCGCGGCGGGCACTGCCAGGCGGCGAGTCCTGACTCCCAAGAAGACGACTCTTCCCTCACCAAACCCCACTCTCACGCAGGGAGGGAAGTGCCGGAGGTCGGTGCGAGGTGGTGGCGCAGACCGACAGGCGGTGGGGAGCCGAAAGAGGAGCGGGGTCCATCTCGAACGCAGCGGAGCGCGGCCCTAGGTCGGCATCGGAGGGGAGGGGCCGGCCCGAGCGCGCGCTCCCCGCATCGGACGCCGCGCCGGAGTCCACAGGGGAAAGTTTGGAGGCGGCTTCTTGCCACAGGAGACCCCCAGGACTGGGTTAGGGGAGGGGAACTCCATAAAAGAGGCTCTGCCCGTGGAAATCGCTGAAAGTCCCGCGGGTGCTGGGAGGGACACAGCACAGAGGCGCCATAGGTAGGGCTCGCGGCGGGCCGGCAGGCGGCCCTGGGGCGCACCTCAGGGAATAGGCAACGGTGGACCCCGACTCCGGAGGCCCTCCTGGTGCAGTCGGCTTCAGCGCTGACTAGCAGGGGGTGGGCAGCTGCAATTCGGGGACCCCAAAGCCTGCGACTGCGGGGACTTGTTGCCCAGGCGTCCGCCTGAGCCATAGCCGCTGCCTCTG